CTCCCTCGCTCTGGCCCGCAGGCTGGAGCAGCAGGGTGGAGTACGAGCCGGGCACGGGCGCGCTGGCCCTCTTCCCCAACATCGGCCTGGAGACGTGCGACGGGCCCGTGGCCTCGGTGCAGGTCACGGTGGCGCTGGAGACCGAGCACATCGGGAAGGGCTGTGACCGCGACACCTACTCCGAGAAGTCCCTGCAGCGGCTCTGCGGTAAGGGCCAGGCCTGCGGCCCAGTGCGCTGTCCAGTTGGCAAGCCCAGCGCAGCCGGCCTTCTCGCGGCTGTAGCTGCCTGCGGGCCCGCGTCCCTCCCCGCCGCCCGGCCCGGGCCTGCCAGTCGGCTTGTGAGAACCGGACTCGCTCCGGCGGCCGAGGGTGAATCTCAGCGCTATCACTCGATGGCCTGAGTCCATCCTCGGCCGGGAGCGACCGGCAGGACGCAGCTGACCTCTCCTGGTTCCTGCTGCCCCCTCAGCAGTGGATCTCAGTGGCTCTGCCTGCTCTGCTCCCCAGAATCCTCTCAGCCCCACACCCCACCTCTGGCCTAGACCCCCGTTCTTCTACAAAAAAAAAGCCAAGTTCTGATTTGAAAAAAGTATTTTTCCAGTGTGCATGGAGAAGCATCGAAAGCGTGCCCACGTAAGCGCAGTGAGTTTTTTTTATTAGTTTATTTTTACATATTTTTGTGCATTTTTCCATCTCAGTTGCAATCCCCTTGGGTTTCCCCTCACCAAATCACCCATGTGCCCTCACCATAGTCCAGTGCATTTCCCTCCCCCACTGTTTTTGATCCCATCCCCCACTCCACCGCCACAAAATGTCTCTGCTATATGGCTGTTTATCATCATCACTATTTTCTTGCCTGTGAGTTTTAAGTGAAACAGCCGTTTAAGACTGAAGGGAAATAGGGCAGCAGCCTCTGGCCTTGTCATCACGAGGGCTCCTGATGAGAGAGTTCCCATGCTCACTGTCTGCTCGCTGCTTTTCTTCCTGTATGGGAAAGCCCATTCTCTGCTGGCCCGGCCCAGCACGAAATCCACTGGGCTTGGGTCCCCGAGTAGCGGGATCGCCCGCCCGAGGGCTGGGGCATGAGCCCTGTGAAGCCACAGGGTGTAGGGCTGATTTCCTGTCCAGTAATGCCACAGGTTTTTTTTTTTTTTTTTTTTTAAAGATTTATTTATTTATGCATACAGAACTGGGGTACAGGCCAGAGGCTCAGGGGTGGTGAGAGGCTTCACCAGAGACAGAGTGGGGAGCAGAACAGGCAGATCGACGAAGTACACTGCTGAGGGGAGCAGCGGGTGGGTCAGGAGAGGTCTGCCACACCATGTGGTCACCTCGGGGGCAGGCGGGAATCGAACTCATGCGGAAGTGGCTTTAGCTTCTCAGTGCAGTGCTTTAACCCGCTGCGCCACCAGTGAGGGCCAATGCCACAGGTTTTAAGTAAGCACTTTGTCAGCTGGACGGTTGAAAGGTAGCAGGCGCGGAAAGCACTTCGGGGCAGACTGCTTGCTGGACGCTGCCCTTCTGCGTGAGTGCCCACCTTCCCACGGCCACAGCGGAGGCGGCGTGGACTCGGTTTTACAGAGGGGTTATCAAGACCCGGGAGGCTGAGTCACCTGCTTCGGCTCGTGCTTTCACCTCATCAAGGCAGGGACTGTCCGAGATTAGGGACCACCAGTGGCCACCAGGAAGATCCGCCCATCTCGCGCTCCGGCATTTTCAACCAGGCTAGAGCCTAGGGAGGGTATTTCTAGTCTGCATTTCACAAAGAAAGCCCTGGGCGGGCGTGTTCGCACCAGCTGTCCGTGGCGGGTGAGCCTGGGTAGGGGTCACAGGTGAAGCTTATCTTCTTGCCTTAAAAAAAACAACCACAAAAACTTGTGGTTATTTATTTATTTATTTATTTTTTTTAAGATTTATTTATTTTTGCATACAGAATTGGGGTACAGGCCAGAGGCTCAGGGGTGGTGAGAGGCTTCACCAGAGACAGAGTGGGGAGCAGAACAGGCAGATCGAGGAAGTACACTGCTGAGGGGAGCAGCGGGCGGGTCAGGAGAGGTCTGCCACGCCATGTGGTCACCTCCGGGGCAGGCGGGAATCGAACTCATGCGGAAGCGGCTTTAGATTCTCAGTGCTGTGCTTTAACCCGCTGCGCCACCAGGGAGGGCCGGTGGTCACCTCCGGGGCAGGCGGGAATCGAACTCATGCGGAAGCGGCTTTAGATTCTCAGTGCTGTGCTTTAACCCGCTGCGCCACCAGGGAGGGCCGGTTATTTATTTTTTTAAAAAATATTTATTTATTCATACAGAGCTGGGGTATAAGCCAGTGGTGTGGTGGGGGCGAGGATTCACTGGAGACAGAGTGGGGAGCAGAACAGGTAGACCGACGAAGCACACTGCTGAGGGGAGCAGTAGGCGGGTCAGGAGAGGTCTGCCGCGCCACGTGGGTCAGCTCCCTGGCAGGGGATCGAACTTTGTGCTGCAGTGGCTTCAGAGAGCTTCATCATGCGGTGCTTTAACCGCTGCACCACCAGGGAGAGCCCCCGTGGTTATTTTTTATGAATTCTTTTGCTCCTGAGAGCCTCTGGGGGGGCCGCACCTCGCCCTGGCTGAAGGTGTGTGCTCGCCCCAGGGGCTGCGTCTGGCACCGCCGAGCTGCTCCCTTCCCCCGGCGGCTCCTCCAACTGGACGGTCGGTCTCCCCACGGACAATGGCCACGACAGCGACCAGGTCTTCGAGTTCAACGGCACTCAGGCCGTGCGGGTGCCCGACGGCGTGGTTTCCGTCAACCCCAAAGAGCCCTTCACGGTGTCCGTGTGGATGAGGCACGGGCCGTTCAGCAGGAAGAAGGAGACAGTCCTCTGCAGCTCAGACAAGACAGGTGGGCACCGTGAGCGGTGGGCCCGCAGGGGTCACCCAGAGGTCGCGGGAGGAGGCCCCCGAGCGCCCCCACCGGGCCGGCTGGTGACACACGTCTGTGTGTCTCCCGGTGCCTGTGTCCTCCAGGTGCGTCCTGGGGTGCAGGTGACTGTCATGCGCCCTCAGGACCTGCTCCCCGCTGGTGCCCGGGTGCCTTTGTTTCCGAGCCTCCGCCCGCTGCAGGGCTCCTTTGTGCTGATGAAACCGCGTCTTCAGCCTCCCGTTAAGGAAGTGGCTCGTGCGTCCCCTGTGGGTCTCGAGGTGGCAGTGTGCCAGCAGGATTTCTCTCTGCAGACATGAACAGGCACCATTATTCGCTGTACGTCCACGGCTGCCGGCTCGTCTTCCTCCTGCGCCAGGACCCTGCCGAGGAGAAGAAATACAAGCCGGCCGAGTTCCACTGGAAGCTGAATCAGGTGAGCGAGTGGAAGGTCGCGGCCGGGCGCTGTGGCCGGGGAGTGGCGCTAGATGAACGGGGCGGCCTGCGGAATGGGGCAGTCAGGTCCATCGAATTCCTTTCCAGGGAAAGCCTGAGTTGCCTTTTGGTTTATTTATTTTTTAATGTGTATGCATGTTATACGTGACGTTAATATAAAGGAAATCCTGTGGTTCATAGTCAAAGTGGTGTTAAAATTTGGGCAATAACAGCCTTTGCTTAAAAGCTGGAGCTGAGAAGCATGTACCTGCTAATTTATTATTGGAGGATTCGGCTCCCAGATGATGCCAGCGAACCCCGGGGTGTCTGCAAATTCAGAGGCACCATGGGATATTGTAAATGCTCAAGCCACCAGCGTGCTTGACATATTTCAGATACCACATGGAGTTCTAGCTCGAGGGAGCTGACAGCTCTGACGTGAGCTCGTGTTTTATTGCTGTGGATGAGGTCGTGTCTCTGCCAAGCTGATTTCCCAACTGCTACGATGAAAAGCGAGACTGCCGTGACAGTCAGTGTGTTACAGGAAGCCGAGGGCACCTTCCCACGCAGTGTTTCTTCTCCTGATGTAGGGTTGGGACAAGAGGGAAGGCCAGGGCCTCCGTTCAGTGTTGTTTGTCTCGTGCTGCTGCTGGCCCAGAGCTGACCGAGACGCTTGTAGGTGCTGGAGTGTAGCCTTGTCTGGTAGGACAGCGCCGGGACGGACTGCAGGAGCGGGCGGGAGGGATGGAGAGACGCGGGACGGATCCCCGGCGCCTCGAGCCCGGCCTGTGCGAGCCTTCCGAGCTCAGAGGCTCCTACCGTAGTTACTGTCAGAGCGAAGGAAGGTGGAGTCCAGCAGAAGGAATCGGGCTTCCTCGGTGGGCCTTCTCGGGCAGCGCTGAGTAGCCCAGTGAGAGCTCCGTGGCGCCCACGCTGCCTGGAAACCGCGCGGTGAGAGGATGAGAGCAGAAACGACCCTGCGGGACGCCGTTTTTCGCTCTGGGCTGCAGTGCGTCTTTCTTACCTGCATTTTCACCAGCTGACGTAATTGGAGGCCAGCCCTGCGTAGTTTCTTCTGACCAGGGTTGTAAAAGGCTGTTCCAGGAAACCCCAGACAGCTCCAGGCTACTTGGCCTTGTTCCAACAGTGAGTGGTCTCAGCCCCCACTCTCACCTGCTCATTTTATTACCGGCTGAGAAACTACTTGATACATTTTAAGCAAATAATAGCTACAGCTTTTCATCCTCTGTAGAGATACTGGGGTGAAATCTCTATCTGCGGAGCTGGCCCTGATGCTGTGTGGGGTCTTACTAATCAGCGACGGTCCTTGCTACAGCACATCCCCAGGGGGTGTTCGGCACATCCCAGGGGCTGTTCGGGTTTCCTACCTCTCAGGAGAGCAGGCACCTGGCCGGCGTCCGGCCGGGGGCGATCGAGTGGGCAGTGTGGCCGTGGCCTGCCGGCCGCTGTGGTCAGGGAGGAATAGGGTCCCGCTCCCCTTTCCAGGAACGGTGTGTGTGGGGGGGGGGGGGGCTTCTCACCAGCCGCCCTGGGCCTCTCCAGGTGTGTGACGAGGAGTGGCACCATTACGTGCTCAACGTGGAGTTCCCGAGCGTGACCCTCTACGTGGACGGCGCCACGCACGAGCCCTTCTCTGTGACTGAGGACTACCCGCTACACCCGTCCAGGATAGACACGCAGCTCGTGGTGGGGGCCTGCTGGCAAGGTAACCGCCCCCGGCCCGCCGCCGTGGTGGCGCGGGCCTGAGTCTCCGCTCCGTGTCTCACGCCTGTGCCCTCCTCTCCTCCCCAGGCTTAGCCTCCTTGGGGACGCGCGTCTAGCTGTTTGGGCGCTCAGTTTCCTGGGAGGCTGCACGCACCTAGGGTGCCACTGAAAGCCACTTTATCCATTAATGTGGCCACTGGAAAGCTTATGGCGACAGAAGCAGCAGTCAGACCTGCAGCGTGAGGGGCTTGAGCCGGAGGCTCCCCGGGCACAGTGCTGACCTCGGCGGGAGAGGGCCTGTGCCCGTGGGTGCCAACTGCGGAGGGCGGGCTGTGAGATGTCCTTGCTCGTCCCTGCGGTGAGGGGTCAGGGGTGGAAGTCATTTTGTTTAAATAGTTATTGATGCACACAGAACTGGGGTACAGGCCAGAGGTGCGAGGGGGTGAGAGGCTTCACCAGAGACAGAGTGGGGAGCAGAACAGGCAGATCGACGAAGTACACTGCCGAGGGGAGCAGCGGGCGGGTCAGGAGAGGTCTGCCGCGCCCTGGGGGCCACCCCCGGGGCTGGGTATCGAGCTGCGTCCTGACCCGTTGCACCACCAGGGAGGGCCGGGGGTAGAGGTTATTTTTATCGCTGAAGAAACTGAGGCCCCGAATCACGGGGTCCAGGGCGTGTCTCCCCAGGGCCTGAGGCCAGGGCTCCCGGGGTGCGGGGTGGTCTGCTGGGGCCTGCGAGCCCTCGGGGTAGCCATCCATCTAGAAGTGGACACGTAGGATTTCAGAGGTGGCCGACGCACACCCAGCCACTGGCCCGTGAGGCTGGCGCCGGCTCGGCTCCGCTGGCGCTCCAGGGTGGGCTTGAGCGGCAGGCGGCAGGCCTGGCCTCGGGGCTCGCGCGGCCACTGGGGCTGCGTGCGTGGGTCGCCATGAGGGCAGGAGGGCAGGCGTGGCCGGGGCTGTGCCCGGGGCGCGCAGCTGACCTTCGCAGCCCTGGAGAAGCTGACCTGGGGGTCCCGTGGGATCAGCAGGGACCGGTCCCCAGAGGCTCGCCTGCCCAGGCCTCAGCGCCACGGAGCCGCCTCCCGGTTTGGACTGCTCAGGGCACCCCTGGGGGTTGCTTTTCTCCCTGTGGAAACAGTGTACCTAGAATTGTGTTGGAAATTTATGGGAGAGCCTAATTTCCGGGGCGGCTTTGCTTGTTCTGGGAGAACTTGAAGGAACCAATGTTTAGTCTAAACCGTCTCACCTGAGTCCCAAATGTTTAAAAAAAAAAATTCACCTTCGAGATTTATTTATGCATGGAGGAGCTGGGGTGCAGGCCAGAAGTGTGGGGGGTGAGAGGACTCCCCAGGGGCAGTGGGAGCAGACCCACTGACATCCACTGCTGAGGGGAGCAGCGGGGATACGGGAGCGGTCTGCCGTGCCCTGGGGGTCACTGGCCGGGGATCGCACTAGTGGTAGCACCAAGACTGGTCCCCGAGGCCAGGGAGGCCCCTGATCCCCAAGTTTAATTTCAGTGACCTTTTACCTGTGAGAAGTGGAAACAGAGCCTGAGGGCTTCAGTCACTGGGCTTATCAGGAGCTTTTACTTGCTCTTTTTGAAATTTCAGTTCAAATTTGCTTCCCAAATTAAACAGCAGTTTCTAAGTAATGGCCTTAAAATTAAGAGCAGTGGTGCAGGTGCAAACCTAAGTGTTACCCGGACGCTGAGGCCTGTGTTGCTTGGGTGAAGGCGCCCGCCCACCCCGCGGTGGCCTCCTGGGCATCGCAGGTGCCGTCTGGGCTTCCTGCCTCAGCCTGCTCAGCCTCCTCCGGAGTGCAGCTCCCCCCACGCAAAGCCGTGAGCTTCGGCTAACAGGACGCCCTCCCACCCGCCCTTCAGTGGGTTTGTTGGCTCCCTGCGCGCCCCTGGGGAGTCCGGCCCGTGGGTCACCGCCTCCCTGCCCCACCCGTGGGGCTCCCAGCCGCTGCTGCCCCGGCCTCTCCGGGCCGCCTGGCTGCAGCCCCAGCGCCCCGCAGCCGGCTCACCGGGCCCGGCTGTGAGGAGCAGCGGCCGGTGCTGAGAACACTAGCGCTGGCCCAGCTCCGAGCCCTCCCCAGGACCCCTGACCCCCGGGGCTCCCTCCCCGCCTCGGGAAGCGGTTAAAACACCTTAGTCACTCTGCCCCTTAGGGGCTAAAGTCTAGGCCAAGGTGAACCTGCATCAGGCTTTCCGAAAATGCACGCACTCTCATTTGCTGGATTTCTTTTTTAAAGATTTATTTATTTATGCACACAAAACTGGGGTACAGGCCAGAGGCACAGGGGCAGTGAGAGGACTCACCAGAGACAGAGTGGGGAGCAGAACAGGCTGATTGACGAAGCACACTGCCGAGGGGAGCAACGGGGAGACAGGAGAGGTCTGCAGCGCCCTGGGGGTCACCTCCGGGGCGGGGGCGGCCGCGGCTGGGCTCAGCTTCGCAGTGCGGCGCTCCAGCCCGCTGTGCCACCGGGGAGGGCCTGGATTTCTTTTTAACGGAGGTAACCGGCTTCCAGCTGCGTATGACTTAGGTCATACTCAGATGTGGCTCACTGTGCCCGCTTCAACACCCCGGTGTCCCCACCACAGTCCTGGAGCCCCCTCCGTCCTCTGCCTGCGCCCCGAACCTCCCTGAGGGGATGACACGGCTGCCGGCTCTGTCCTGCTGGTCGGAGGGGAGCAGCCTCGGACGCCAGCTCGTGGGCAGGGAGACGCGGAGGCCACTGTGTGTACGCGGAGGCCACTGTGTGTCCATCCGAGGCCGGATCCAGCCTGCGTGTGCAGGAGGATGCGGGAGAGGCGGTGGAGGGAGCAGCCTGGGGTGGGGGGCGTGGGGGGCAAGTGGCGCCTGGGGAGGCGACCATCGGGCTTCTGGGTCTGGGTGTCCCCCAAGAACGAGAGGGGGGTCTTGCTCTGTGTTTCGCGTTTGGAAGCTTCTCGAAACCGACGTGCCAGGCCGAGTCTGACCAGCCTAACCTCTCGGCCCTCTCCTGTGTCTGTCTCGCTTCTCCACAGAGTATCCGGGAGTTGAGAGTGACAATGACACCGAGCCCGTGGCCCCCACAGGTGGCTGGACTCACCCCCACCCCCCCACCCCACCCCCGGTCGCGTTCATGTAAAAAAACGAGACGTCGGGTCATTCCACGTTCCGCATGACACGTCCGAGTGGCCTGCGGCCGCCGGCGCCTGGACCTGCCGCTTTGCACTCTGCTTCCCCGTTGCGTCACGGCCCGCCCGGCCCCAGGGGACGGCGGCCGCTGACCGTGAACCCGGGCGCCGGGGGTGCTGTTTGCTCTCATCTCCCCGGCCGCCACTGCATGAGGCGCCCTCCCTGACACGCCCGGCCCCGGGGGCCTGCGCCCCGAGCTAGCGGGAAGGACGCCTGTCCGCGGGCACGAAACGTTGAGGTTTCCCAGAGACCGAGGCACGAGCCGCCAGAACTGGTCTCTCCGCCTTCCTTCGCCCGCCCGCGGTGGCTTTTTGTCAGTGTGTCAAGGGCCTTCTCTGGGTTTCGTTTCCCTCCTGGCATCCTCCCCTGGCTGCGGGGGACAGGATGAGAGGCCTTGGCCCAGGGCTTCCAGTGCTGGGCGGCTGGAAACACCCCTTCATCCCATGGCATGTTTGTGTCGGGTCGCCCCAAGTGCCCAGGCAGGCTGGGCTGCAGGGGTGGGAGCGTCACTGTGCGCCGTGGACGGTGTGGGGCCCCCGAGGGGTGGCGGCCACGGGGGGTGTCGCGGGCCCCCGCAGGCCACGCATGACCATGAACAACCTGATTTTTCCACCGTGCTTCCACGTGGCTCGCAGGCTAACGGGACTCGTTATGACTAACCCGCATGTCCATCCATCAAGCTTACACCAGTAACACCGCGGGGAGGGGCGCGGGCACCCACCGCCCAGCGCGTGACCTCCGCCCCTCCCCGCCCGCGCTCCAGGTGGGGACCTGCACATGACCCAGTTTTTCCGAGGGAACCTGGCCGGCCTGACGATCCGTTCCGGGAAGCTGGCGGATAAGAAGGTGATCGACTGTCTGTACACCTGCAAAGAGGGGCTGGACCTGCAGGTCCCCGAAGACAGCGGCGGGGGCGTGAAGGTAACCCCGTGTGCCTCGCCCGCGAGCCTGGGCTCTCACCTCTTCTGTCATCAGCCCTGTGCTGTCTCCACGGGCCAGACTCGAGGGGTGTCCCCCGCCCCAGCCAGTCCTGCCTCACTGGGGACACCACCTTCCAGGTGTACCCTCACTGCAGTCTGATCACAACCCCCTTTTCTGCACCCACTTTCAAGAATCAACCCTCAGGTGACCCCCGCAGGTCTGCGGCACACACTTGGGGGTTCCCAGAGTCCTCCCTTTCGGGTTCAGTAACTCGCTAGAACTGTTCACAAAGCCACCTGTCCCTGCGGTCACTGGTTTCCCACGGGACCGGGGACGGGTGGTGTGGGAGCAGCCTCCAGGCCTTCTCCCACCGGGAAGCGCCCAGCTCCAAGTGCAGCCCCGACGCCACTGGTGACTCGGTCAGGCCCAGCCCCTCGCCCCTCCCAGGGTGCAGGCGGTTCCAAGCCTGTCTTCACCTGGAACATCTCTCAGGCACCCAGCACCCCACCCCCGAGGCTTCCAGGGCCCCCACCGACCCGCCTAAACCTGTGTGGCGGGGAGGGGCCTGAACGATGAAAGCTGCTCCCGTCTCTGGAAACGCCAGGCTCGCAGGGGCTCAGTGCCCAAAGCCGGGCCAGAGACCCGTATCTCTCCTCAGCTGTACCCCAGCGGGCGCGGGCGCGTCTGTCCGGGGTGCCCGCGTGTCCTCGCGGGCTGATCTGAGGCTTGTGGCCGGCCCACGCGGCGCCTGCCTGGTCACAGCGTGAGCCCCCCCCCCGCTCTCACACAACTGCAGATCCAGGCCAGCCCCGGCCCGTCGGTGCTGACCCTGGAGGGAGAGGACGTTGGGGAGCTGACCAAGGCCATGCAGCACGTTTCCTACCTGAACTCACGCCAGTTCCCCACGCCCGGGATCCGGAGACTCAAAGTCACCAGCAGGGTCAAGTAGGTGCTGGCTTTGCTTTTCTCTTCTCTTCTCTTCTCTTCTCTTCTCTTCTCTTCTCTTCTCTTCTCTTCTCTTCTCTTCTCTTCTCTTCTCTTCTCTTCTCTTCTCTT